TGAAAATGTTGTTGCAAGCAATTTGTCAATCTTGACAACTCTGCAGGCGGACTCCGCCCCCCCCCCCCCCCCCCTCCCCTCCCACACATCTTTTCTCGCAGCGCTGGCTTGTTGTTTCCTCTCCGACTCTCTTTGTCAGCTCTTCTGACTCCTCCTGCAGAGTTGTCAAGATTGACAAATTGCTTGCAACAACATTTTCACAAAAGTGAAAGTTGAATCAAGGTTAAAAACAAGCGAAGATGTAAACTATCCTCTTTCACAGTAATCTGGATTTGTATTTACATATACAAGGAAGATAAAAGACCCATCTGTCACATAAATATATACGTTTAATTCAACACTGAATTGTTTCTGCTGTGTGATCTCAACATCTGTGTGTATTGTGTAACAGCAGGATATCACCATCCTACCTTAGAGGACTTGATATTCTTCTAATGCATGTCAGACCAGTTTCATATTAAAAGCTCTACAGTTACAACACCATATATATCTAACATGGAAAAACCGCCACTAAATAATGTTGCTGTAATACGATTAATTTGGACTCTGTGTTACTCTTACACACAGCTGTCCATACATTCACAGCAAGCAGCCTTGCGTGCTGGAATAACAAGGTCGCTTGTTTATTCTTCACTCTGAATGTTAGTGTCCCTGAGCAATTTCAGTATAATTTCCGTGTGCTATAATAATCTTTTTTTAGTTGTTTGTAGTTTATTCTCTGACCGAAATAATAGAGTTGTGTCTCCACGTAACAGGGACTTATATTTGGCCTTATGCGCGATAAACAATGTCGAACAGCAGGATACACAGCAGGTAGACAGAATAATGTAAACACGTCATGGAAAAGACTAAATTAAATTAATCACAGTTATATATATATATGCAGCTGTAAATCTGGGTCATATGAAGGCGAATGCTGTTAAGCAACACTTACAGTATCAGCTGTAAAATATATCTGTGTAGTCAGTGTTTAATTAGGAACAAAAGACAACAGGGCTCTCAAGAGGCTAAATGAGTTGTGCCAAGCGTGTAGGTGCATTGGTCATTCTTTAAAGGACCAGTTCAGCTGAATGATGTCACTTGTGGTACACGGCGTGGTCTCTGAGATTTCTGCCTCCACTCCACTATAATGGAGATAAGGGGAATTTAGTTTGTGGGGCTCACAGCACTTATATTGGATTTAAAAATGTGACAGTTTTTTCCTTCGATGTTATAATCCACAGAACTCACTTCAACAACAGTTTCGGACGAGAAACTGCTTATTGCATATTCTGTGGATTATCCAAAGCAACATGGACGCTGTTCCTTTTCTTAAGGACTCGTGGAATATATATTCTTATCTTGTGGCCAGTATTCATTTGTTTGCATAACAAGATATAAATCTTGTTTGCACAAGATAATTCATGTAGTGTACAAGGTGGATATCTAGTTCACACAAGTTATAATCACATGCACACAAGATAGCATCTTATCCTCACAAGATAAAACTGTTAAATATTTGGGGACTTTCAGGGATCCATCGTTTCTAAAAACAATATTGTTGAATTTTTTGTGATTTTTTTTCAGTGCTGTTAAAAATCTGTTATATTGAGATTAATAATCTGTAAAATCTTGACAACATATGCTAAAGATAGACAAACTGCAGCAACCGAGAGACGCAGTGATCAGTAGCTGGTATGATAAGTGTGTAGGAGGAAACATTCTGCCACCCAGCATGCCGCACCCAACCACCAGTGTCTGCATTCGTGAGCTAGTTACTTCAAAGTGTATTCTTTTTCTCAAGGAACTTAATATGTCATTTATTTATTTTTACACGTAAACTCAAAAATATGTTGACTTTTCTTTCTTTCACACAATATTAATCTGCTGTATGACTCGATGATTTAATGTTGCCATTTTTTTAACTTGAGTTTCTTTAATTTGCCCACAGACTCCATCGAAGAGGATCTTGGACGGCATGCAAAGTTGTGAAATTTCGTCAGACAGCACTGATGATCCTCTTAGTAGCGGCCTACGCACTCATCGGCAGCCTCGAATAGTAGTGATTGGTGCTGGCTTGGCCGGCCTTGCTGCAACTAAGATCCTACTGAAAAACGGCTTCACGGATGTCACTGTCCTAGAGGCGTCAGACCACGTCGGCGGGAGAGTTCAAAGTGTTCAGCTCGGTGAGAGTCTCCCTTTACCCGTTGTTACCTCACACTTTGTATCTTATCTTTGTAACTAATCTATGAATAACACCTAAACACTGAAAGCGTGCCCTGTGCAACACATTTATTTGGTGCAATGCCTCTGCCTTTTTCATCTTTCTAAACAAGCAGCAATTTAATTGGTTATTATAGATTTTCCCTTTTTAATGAAAAGTATTATTTTAGTTCAGATATCCTACAATTCATCAAGCAAATCCTGATGAGAAAGCAACTACAAAGTGGTAACAATCCATCAGTGAAACTTAAATGAATAGCTTGACATGTTGTAAATGATGCTCATTTGTTCTCTTGCAGAGGGTTAGATGAGAAGATTGGTACCTCCATGTAGCTAAATATGACCAAATAGTGCCAAAGGTGGCTAGCCTAGCTAGGCTATAAGACTGGAACCATGACGAAACAGCTAGCCTCCAGGAGGTGACTATTAACTATCTGATAACTCCCATGTCATCAACACATTGGTTTCTACACAGATTAAATAAACAGGATATAATGTGTTGATTAGTGGGTTTTAGAAAGTGCCAGTAGACATATTTTGTTATCTTTGGACAGAGCCAGGCTAGCTGTTTCCAGTCTTTATGCTAAGTTGCTTACTCTCCTGGTTGTAGCTGCATATTTAGCGCACACACTATATCTTGATATACATTGACTCTTTGTCTCCTTAAATAACCTGAATGAATGCACTTATCGGATGCATGTCTAGTTCCAAAAGAAAGTCAACTGAACTGCCATTCTTATGCCAGAGAAAGTTTCATGGCGAAGTCTTTCAACTGGCAAAAACAAACAAGTAGGGAACTACATCTGCTCACGGCACAGATACATGTATGCACATCAAAGAGGTCAAATGTAAAATGACACATTCTGCACTGTTAAACGTAAACTTGGATGTGAGGGACACGGATAATTGCGTCTGTTATGTAAATGCCTGTTATGTAATTATAGAAGCATAACTAACTGCATTGGCCCATTTTTAATACGAATCTAAAAAATATGAAGTGTGTGATGCCATCATCCTCAGGAAAAATATCAAATGAATGGTATTCCAATGGGGCTAAAGCAACTGCAGTATGTTAATTGAGTTGACCTCCTTCTTGAACTGTCCACTTATGTAAAACTCAGGTGTGGTTGTTCCGCAACAAAGCAGGGTTCAAAGAGATCCTTTTTTTTTTTTCAAACTCAAACTCATCTGTGTGTCTTCCCTCTCTTTGTTTTTGTAGGAAAAGCAACTTTGGAGCTTGGAGCCACCTGGATCCATGGTGCCAATGGGAACCCAGTGTACCACCTGGCAGAGGACAACGGGCTGCTGGAGCACACCACAGACGGGGAGAGGAGCGTGGGACGCATCAGCCTGTACACTAAGAATGGCGTTGCTCACTACCAGACCAACGTCGGGAAGAGGATCCCCAAAGACCTGGTGGAGGAGTTCAGTGACCTGTACAACGAGGTAAGAGGACGCATGTGCACACAGGCAATTCACTTATATATGCACAACTGAATGCATGCATGGGCAAGAGCACAGATAACCTCACTTTTCAGCCTGCCTTACATCAACATATGTTTATGTAAGTTAAGTTATGGAGCATAGCCATAGTAACTAGTGGCAAGCCCCTTAAAAACAAATGCTCTGTGGACAAATATTGTTCAGACCTGCAAAATTGTATTTTAAATTAATGGAGATCCGAAAGTTTCCACGGATAGAAAATAGGATGAATAAGCTGAATTTGGGGAAACGTGTGATGAAAGATGACAAACATCTAGAATATTTCCTCTTTATAGAAAGGTGCAGCCATAAAAACACAGACACATGAGATTGAATAGAGAATACGTGACAAATATAGTAAAGATTTCACTGTTAAAATAAGAAAAATCATAAAAAACGGTCAAATGACTGGCAGCAGCGGCTACCAAGACTGTGAAATTAAAGTAAAATATCTATAAACAGTAAATTAACAGAAATTCTTATTCAAGTTTTTGCAGAGAAACACTTATTAATGTACAGATTTCCCCATCATTATTATGCTGTTTTTAACAACCTTAAAGCTACTTAAGGTGAAATAAAAGCCACTGTTAACATCCATCATCATTACTAAAAATATCTTCAGCCATCTTTGAGGTGAAGCAGTGAAATATCCACCAAAGCATGCTGAACTTACCTAAGGAGTGGCAATTGTCGTTGGTCCAGTTCTCTGCTCTGAGCTCTGTAGCAGCTCCTGTTAGAGAAGGAGTATTGTAGTTTAAAGGTCACCTCTAGAGGAGCAGTTACAGAGAGAAGGTATACAACACACAGAGGGGATTTCATCTTCATTAACCTTTGGTACATGTCTTTTTTCTGTGTGATCGCAGGTCCAAAATGACCCACCCACTCTTTAACACTCCTTGTGCTAAATCTTCTTTATGGAAGTTCACACCTTTACAGACACAGTGGCAGTTTCAGCATCCTAATTTCAGCCCTGCATAGTCATCTCATCATGCTTTCTGTGTCTGTTGTCCATATTGTAAAGCTGTTAGAAACAAACATGCTATTTTGGGGTATATGAATAAAGTTGACTTGACAAGGCTTCTAAAGTCTGCAGGATGTCTTTTCAATAGGTGGCGTAATGAAAAGAGTGAAAAAATGAGACCATGCTTCAGGTTCACCGCAGATCACCTGACCTGACGATCACCTCCCTAACCACAACACTTGTCTGCCATTGCCTCTTGCGCACTGCAGCTTGTGAAAGCATCATCTATATTCAGACAAACGCAAGCGCTGTATTCACGAGCTATAGGACACACAAAGTAAAGCTTGTTGCCAATTAGGTGTGGTCGGAGCAAGGGCACCTTGACATCTATAAAATACCAAACAATAAATGACGCACATACAGTACTTGTTCTGCAGGTTTTAGTTAAAGTCTTTAAGTTTTAACTTCATTAACTTAAAGTAAACACAGTCCCCGTTCATACTGTAAATGTTTGAATTTCACTGGTGGTGTTTTAGTTTCCAGGAAATGGTGAATTATCACCTCTGTGTAGCATCCTGTTAGCTTATCAACAAGTCTCTTCTCCTATTTTCTTCTTTCTGTTTTCTTCTCCTTAACAATGGCCTGCTCTTGTAGTGTCTGGCAGTATTTCTTATTAATGTGCTGTGATTTGATTCGTGCTACCTGTGGGGTTTCTCCATAATGCTGCACTTCACCACATAAAACAATCAAACGCTGAACTGATCTATTCTGAGCGGAACTAAGCTGCTTTATTTTTCTTCTGTCTGCTTCCTTGACATACTTTCTTATTGTCTTCCTCCTGATTACTCTCCGACTCACTCCTCTCTAGGTGTACGAGCTGACTCAGGAGTTCTTCCAGAATGGGAAGCCTGTCTGCGCTGAGAGCCAGAACAGCGTTGGCATCTTTACGCGGGACGTGGTGCGCAAGAAGATCATGTTGGATCCTGATGATTCTGAGAGCACCAAGAAGCTCAAACTGTCCATGCTTCAGCAGTACCTCAAGGTGTGTGTGTGAGAGAGAGAGCCTTGCAATTATGAATCATCAAGAAATGTGGAAAATGATAGTTGGTATACAAACATACATTTTCAATTATGTTAAACAGAGAAAAGCAGTACATGGTCTCATTTGAGAAGATGCAGGAAGCTAATGTTTGTTTCTCGGTCTCTCTCTCTCTAACTCAACTTTTTAGTATTGGCTCAGCTCGATCGGAACCTCGACAGAGGCGATAACTAAATAAGTACCAGGTATCAGGTACTAACCACAACTTTTTTCAACAGAAAACCATAAAAGAGCAAGTAGAATTAGGTCGGGTAGAGCCATAAACATGCAGTGGAAAAGAGGCATACGATGAAAATTCATACATTTTCTATTGATCTGCAAATTAACTAATCATTCATAATTCGGCACTAAATGATAGCACTCACCCCATGCATACAGTGAAGAAAATTATGTAATTGTGTGAGGGAGCCAAACACAATTTTTCCTTTCACATTGGAGGTTATGTTTTGTTTTGTTTTTTTGTCAGGCAGATGTCATAAAAAACATCAGAGAACTAAAACTGCAGCTCCCCGAGGTTATTGTCTGCATGAAAACACCTTAAATGAAATGTTGCCTCTCTGGCGTTTGATATAAACAGCCATTTAATATTTTCATGTGGGTGCTACATCAGTGCTACATTCCTTTGAGTGCTCCTCTATACGCTACCGCCCACACACAAAGACACAGGAACCAGAGCATGCTGTGAACAGCAGCAGAGAAGAGACAGGCGGTTGCGGCCCATTGGCCACCAGCTAATCGCTACTATGCTAGCTCACTATTAAATGAGCCGCGTGTTTACTAAAGTGATCAGAACGTTGTCCAATTCGCTAGAAATGGAATTTTGTCCCAAAAACAACATGAAACCATCTTTAGACATACGAGACATTTGACAATGACAACACAGCAGCTTAAAAAAAAAGAACCTGTAAGAATGAAGGTGCATAAGTGCTAAAGTGCTTGTGTATTTATTGCACACTGCTCCATTACACTAAGATTTAGCATTAGAGTTCAGCAGCTTGATGGAGGCTGGAGCGAACAATAGTTTCAAGCGGTTTGAGTTGCACTTTGGCACACGGATTCTTCTCCCTGATGGCAGAGGTTCATATTCAGAAGAGGGGATGTTGTAAGTCCCCAGAGATTTTTGTTTCATGACTGCCTGCTCGTACACGCTCTCGTGTACGAGCAGGCAGTCGTTTTTCTTCACGATTACCTTCATTGCCGTTTTGTGCAAGCTTGCAAGTTGCACTGTTAGGTTGCCAAATCATGCCGTAATTCTGTATCTAATGATGCTCTCTAGGATTGCCCGGAAGAACATCAGTGTGATCTGACTGCTCACTCCATACATTCTCTGTGTTGATATTTCTCCTGTTTCAGGTGGAGAGTTGTGAAAGCAGCTCTCCCAGTATGGATGAGGTGTCTCTGAGTGAGTTTGGCGAGTGGACAGAGATCCCTGGTGCACATTATGTCATTCCTGAAGGTTTCATGAAGGTTGTGGAGCTCCTGGCCCAAGACATCCCCTCTCGCACCGTCTGCCTTAGCAAACCGGTCCGCAGCATCCACTGGAACTACTCAGCCCAGCATCAGGAGGTGATCGCCAAGAGCAGCGACACCCACCAGGAAAACAACCACAATGACAACAACCACGGCTGCCAACCTCGCGAGGACCCTCTGATCCTGGGTCATCCCATTTACGTGGAGTGTGAGGACGAGGAGTGGATCGCAGCTGACCATGTGATCGTCACAGCCTCTCTGGGCGTCCTGAAGCAGAACCACGAGGCCATGTTCTCCCCCTCTCTGCCTGAGGACAAAGTGCTCGCCATCGAGAAGTTGGGCATCAGCACCACCGATAAGATATTCTTGGAGTTTGAAGAGCCCTTCTGGAGCCCCGAGTGCAACAGCATCCAGTTTGTATGGGAGGATGAGGCTCAGCTCGAACAGCTGGCCTACCCCGAGGAGCTGTGGTACAAGAAGATCTGCAGCTTTGACGTCCTCTACCCGCCCGAGCGCTATGGCTACATGCTGAGCGGCTGGATCTGCGGGCAGGAGGCGCTGTACATGGAGCGCTGCGATGACGAAACAGTGGCCGAGACTTGCACTGAGCTCCTGAGGCGCTTTACAGGTACACACAAGGAAACAGAGCTGTGTATTGTGGGCCAATGTTACATCATAGAAGCTTCTGTGGGCCTCCTAGGTTGATATCTACACAAGAATACTTTCTTTGTGTCTATTTTATTCTCACTTTTAGATATGTTACTCCTCCTTTATGTAATCCTTATCTTACCACAGAAATTATCAAAATATTCACCTTCTTTATAATTCTGACTTCTGTAGATTTTTATGACAGAAAACAGAAGAGATCAACTTCTGTCTTCCAACCCTCCTCTAAGTTCATCTCCAATACTGTAAAATGAACGTAATAGCCTGGGAAGGCTGAGACTGAACTCAGTGACTCAAACAAACAGTTGGGTTTGGTCGTTGCATTTCATACAAAGGAAATTATATAAGCTTTGTCTGTGATGTAAGTAGCATTTTTTCATGACAAAAGGTTGTCAGATAATACAGCTGGATGACTAGGTATCGGTTGATGCTGTGTCAAGTGTTACCGCCACATGAGCAACACTGAGCTGAAGGGTTGATCATGAGGTTGGATAAGGGGAACAAGGCTTTACTTTAACTTACATTTGATCAGTACATCCTTTTTCTTGTGACACAAATGTCATGGATGTTTCATTTTCTCTGAACCAATGTTGCAGCTACTAGTTACCTAAAAATACAGCACTTCTTGTGGAACAGATTGCAGCATGGAATGTAAAAGGTTTCATAACATGGCTATAGGTTGATTCATTGTTTGGGAACAGATTAGTGATGTGTCGATACTGTAAGAATGAATGAGAGTATTTCTCGAATAAGGGATTGCCTCAGAAACAGGTCACAGTGTGAGTGCAGAAGCAGTGACTGTCACTTCATGATGAGGTCAGTGGACTTCCAATAGATTGCAGACGGTAAATCACACAGAGAAGCTACACACACACACACACACATTCCTCATTTAGGTCAACGTGGTTTAATCCCCTCAGCTGTTGCTTAATTACATATAGACTCGCTGGTGCCTTTCTCCTCAAAGAGGGTCACGACTTGATAAGTTGGCAGATTAGACGTCCCAGTGAAAGGCCTCAACTCACAGCCGTAACATTCTTAATTTGAACTGGTTTGGTTCTGTATTGCACTGGATTTTGTAGACACCAGACTGTCCATGATTGTCATAAAGTGTCTCTGTCCGTCTGTCCACAGGGAACCCCGACATTCCTAAGCCCTGGCGTGTCCTGCGCTCCTCGTGGGGCAGTAACCCCTTCATTCGAGGCTCCTACTCCTTCACCAGGGTGGGATCCAGCGGTGGGGACTGTGAAAGGCTGGCCATGCCGCTGCCTTATGCCAACAGCACCAAGGCTCCGGTAAGATACCCTCAAGACAACACAGTGGGTGGACAGAGGAATAAAAACACCTCGGCCATTTAAAGCAATTCAGTAGCCCTTTATAGTTATTGTTAAGCCAAACTTAGTAGTGTTGGTATTGCATTAATTTGTTGCATGCTTCTGTAATTGTGTCTACCACACTGTGTGGTATCAAGTGCCGGAGATAATATTTCCAATTAAGCTGAAAAGGACAAAGTTTTCACTTGTTTTGGCAACACATTCTCACTCCCAACTTGACAAATACTGACACTTGAAGCCTTATGCTTAAAGCTATGGTGCCCCTCTAGTATCAGCTTTGGACTCCACCTGTTACATGCAAAATAAACTTATAAAGTAGGTTTACTTACTTACAAACAACAAAGCTAAAGTTGGTTAGGTTAAGGCAACAAAAGTACTTGGTTAGGTTTAGGAAAAGATCATGATTTGGGTTCAAATATGTACGTTTATTACGTAACTGGCGTTGCTAAAGTATGTAAGACATGTAACAAAATTACAGAAAAATAAGTCAACGTTGACTTTTGGTTTCACACAGGACATGAACAGCCTCCTGGGTGAAAGTCCTGTGTTTGTTTGACTATTTTCTAACAATACATTTCCTAATGATTTGATATGGTTTTCTCGAAAGAATTATGCAATTTGTTACTAATTAGAGAAAATGAAGGCAAAATTCTGTGACAGTTTAGCTAGTCGTGGTAAGTTTATAACTGGCTGATGTTCAGAGTAATTTCCCTTGAGGAAGTGCTCCATTTAAACCCGACTAAATATTGATTCATTATTTATATATTACTGGAAGCTTTATATTTCATATATGTTAAATTGTATGCTTGTTGCATGTTTAGCTGACCTGCTGTGTACTGACAAATATAGTCTCTAGGTTATGATACCAGTTAATTGGAAATAAATAGATAGAAATTCTGAAAACAAAATTCTTATGAATTCAAAGTTACATATCAGTGTCTTTGTTGGGAATTGTATGAAATTAAGGGACATGTCAAATAAAAGACTGTAAATATTGTATAAGATAATTACTTAATAATATAGTCATTGCACTATGAATGTTGTCGAAAAAAATGCACTGTAACTGTAACTACCCTTACAACAGTAGTTTCACTGTTTACACTCTCATGCCCTCTGAGAGCCTATGGCTAATGCGATGGTGTCATACCATGTCACATCGCTGCACATGCAGAAAATACAACTAGTGTCAGGGAGGGTTAGGAAGGCTGCTTCCTGGCCAGCAGTCTAGACCATGAAACCTGAGGTGTTGTGGGTGAAGGGGTAAAGGTGCTAGGGGGGAGGATTTGTGTGCTCACTTGACACCATTGAAGGAATGGTATTACCCCTCCGCTGAAGTCCTTCAACTCTGTCAAACTGAAACATGAAGGCCTTAAGGAAAGTTACTGCGGCCTCCTACATGCAGAGCGCTAACAAGTGATGAAAATAAAAAATAGTGCAGCGCAGGAGGCCAAAAGAAATGTCAAGATGACATTGACGGCTCTTGTTTTGAATCTGGTTTTCTTCCCTCAAATCTTTTATCTTTACCTCAGCCTCTACAGGTCCTGTTCGCTGGAGAGGCAACCCACAGAAAATACTATTCCACTACCCATGGTGCTTTGCTGTCAGGACAGAGGGAGGCCACTCGTCTAATAGAGATGCACCAGGACTTGCACAGAGCTGAAACCACAAAGCCTAATATGTAAAATAAAAAAAACCTCTGACTAGTGAAAAACATTACTGTTGAGTTTTACGCATCTTATCTTGGTGATTAAGTTATACTTAAAAACATAGCTCGGGCATTATTTCATTAATGAGTATTGTTTCTATTGTACTGTAGATTCAAATCATGCAACATTTTTATTTGAGATGTACTGTTCAAAGGTTGCCAATGGTGCTGTTATTTCTTGTCTTTATTCTGTCATTACATTTTTTTTTTAATCATTAATTTAATGTTTATAATAACAGCATCTGTAATTTAACTTGTTTTTGTAAGTGCCTTCTGTACGTAATGTTATGTTAATTAAAAAATAAAAGGAAATGCTAAATTAAAATTGATTTTAACAAAATAAAAGTTCTATCGTCATCTAACAAGACCAGTTGTGTCTTCTTAATTCATTCAAAATATTAAACACACTACTGGTAGCCGTCAGATATTTCCTCTTCATCCACTTCTGTCCTCCTGAATATTTTCCAGGAAAGTATAACCACAGGCAAGAGCTGTTTCCATACCATCACCCTTTAGATCTAGGAGAGCAAGGCAGACAGCGAGCGCACATGGAAATAAAAGAAAAGGCTCCAAAGCCATATTCCTGTGCCAAGGTGACAGATGGTGTTAGAACAGACCCAGTCCTCCATTCATCAGTTTAAAATAACAGCATTTGAAAGTTAACTCAAATTTAGTCTAGTTAGCTCATGGAACCCTCAGTGGTGGAAGAAGTATTCAGATCCTTTATTTATATTAAACTCTATTACAAGTAAAAGTCCTGTATGTGTAAGTAAAAAATACACAAGTGTTCTGCAAAATGTAATTGAAGTATCAAAGTTATTAGTAACCTTCTGTGCAGAATGATCTGTTTATTTTTTTATCACCTGCAGTATGCATTAGCATGTACAGTAATCAGCACTTTACCTTTAGCTGATCACGGTGGAGCTGATTTTAACCATTTCACATGATTATCATACTGCATTTCTTTCCTAGAATAGTGTAAAAAAAAAATTGACAATTAGTGTGAGAATCTTGAAACAAGACACAAGGGATAGCTGCTTTAAAATTAAGAACAATGTTGACATTCTAGAAAATTCATAAAAATTGATTTACTTATTTAACCAGGTTCAAATTATCTCAATGCAATGACAGTTTTTGTACTTGTTTTTACTTGTAAAACTTGTAGGACTCAATAGACTAAATGTTGCACTATGCAAAATGTTAATCTACAAATTAACTCAAGCAATCAGATAATGTAGTAAAAAGTGCAATATTTCATCTAGCTTGTAGCCTAGTGGAGGACAAGTAGCACAAAATGCAGAAAATACCTCAAAACAGTATTTGAGTAAATGTAATAATGTACTTTTTTCTTCCACCACTGGAAAGCATGCAATGTCACAATATGGTTTTCATTACAAACACCAAAACATCCCAAAAGCCGTATTTACACTATTAGAGCTTCACCAGTCACATCCTTTGTCATTCACAGTTATTGTGAAGCTTTTATTTGAAAGAACATGAAATCATTAAAAGTAGAAATAATATTGGAAACAGCTGAAGTTTAGACTAATGACCAATTAGATTCAAAACCAAACAAGGGCCAAGAACAGAGCTGATGCATCTTCTGGACGCTGACTTGATGCCAACTACAAATATCAAGGAGCATCAGATGGTAACTTGGTGAACGAGAAGGAACAGAAAGCCCAAAGTTCCAGTGAGAGAATGACATGCATCCAAAAAATGTACCCTGCCAATGCTTAGACACGGTGCCAATACCGTTTATTTTTCTACTGATAGACAACCAGTGCTATAAAACAGGCTCTCTAATGTGTTTAAAATGTTTGGGGCAAAAAAAGGAACCCTGTCCACACAAAGCTGTTTTCACTTTTTGGCCTGATTAGACCTGTTAGATTGTGTCTGACTGAGGTCTCCTGTTAGTTTATTGCAACTGTTAAGATGCAGCTATATTACAAACATCGGTCATACAAGCAGGATAGGCAAATGGTCACTTGCTGTATCAGAAATCTTTACTACATACTGACTCTAAGCAGGTTTTGAGTATGCAGTGTTTCAGATCTGAAAGGTCACAAAATCAATCAAAAACTCAAGCCACAGTGTGCATACTAAATACCACTCATTTTTCAGTGTGCTAATAACAGTTGGAAAACAAACAAAAGTCTTAATTATACGAAGAACATTTGCTGTTAGTTGTGAAGTTAAATTGTCAACATCACACATATTGCATCATTTCCTGTTGGTATAAAAGTATGCTGATAATGTTGCACACTAACTGTTCAACATTATACTATGATGAGTAGTACATACTATATAGAATTAATATGCAGTGTGGTTCACCTTTATCAAGCTTGGTAGCATCATGTTGCTCAACTCTATTCAGCTTCAACGTTACATTTCATGGCAGTTTAGCACAGATGACTTCGGAGAGTTTCTCAAGACCAGGACAGAATTAACAATCAATAACTTTATTTCGCGCTGTGTAATTTAGGAAATGTTCTTTTGGAAAATTGACTTGAGAAAAACTCACAGTTCAGATGTATAAAGTTGTTACGGGGAACATATTAAACAAACGACTGCAGAGCAACATTAGCATCCATTCTGGGTCTTTCTGATGAACATTTACTCTTCTTATACTTGGTGTTTGTCGACACAAACTTTTGCTAAAATGATCTTGGTCTTAGTTCGTCTTCTTGACCAGGTAGTTGCCCAACTTCGTCTGGCATTTGCTGGTTGGCATTATAATTATTGTGGCGTTGAATGTAATGTCTGCTATTAACACTACTGTAGTGACACTCTGCAATGGAATCTAATCTAATCTAATTACCAGAACATTTAAGAAGAACATCTATCCGAAACTGCTGCAGAAAATGGGTTTGTAGTTTTTGTGAGCTATAAAACCAAAACAATAAGCTTCACAGGCTTAAAAATCTCTATAGTGCGGCAGACTTTCTGTCGTATCATCATTTTCAAATCACATCTTAACATTTGTGTCATTGTTTAAAGATATTGATTAGTGGAGCTGTGAAAAAATGTATTTTTTTTCTGAGAAAGGTTATGCAATCAAATGGGCTGTGCATTATTACTGTACATTGTTATTGTGTGTAGAAGGCTGTATTAAAAGTAAAACCTTGTTTTCCGTGGGCAGTGTATTCACCCTCCTCCTTCATTCAGACGGTTGAAAAGCAGAGAGAGGGAAACATGGGGACAAAGTTCTGGCAGGAGTCCCGGGTCCAGCAGGGGAACACATGAGGCTGCAGAAGAGGGTAAAATGATCTGTTGTTTCACTAGTTCTGGTTCATTACAGGGAACTAGTCTTTTTTTTAAATCATCAGGACTTGATGGTGTTTTAGGAGCTCCTTGTACGTTTAGAAAGTTACAGAGAGTTTACCACGAGTCATTTGCACTCAAACAATCTACAAACACATTAATAACAAGTGGTCAACTTATACGAATTCCATCATACAGTTTATAAGTCACATCTTATAATAATAAGACATTTAAAATGAACCAATTGTTAAAAGATTGTTTACACAGGTACATTGATTATTTGATTATCGTATAAATTGTAATTCATTTTTAGAGATTACCAAATCATCGTGAATAATTTGAAATTGGTTACATTTATTATATAATTTTAATAATAATAAAATAACACATTTTTCCATTATTTGTGAATAATTTGCTTGCAATAATTTGGTGCACCCACACTCAAAAATAATATTAAGGCCTGAATGTTCGTATTGTTCTGATAATTGTACATTGAATCTAATATTAAAGGCTAGCATACATTCTGCTTGTTTTACTGATGGGAGGGAACAAAAGTAAAGAAAGTGGGTCCCCAGAGAAAAAGCTTTGGAAACAATGCCCCACACAACTTGCTGTCTTAGTCGGGAGTCTTGAAGTAGTTTTTCACACAACATTACCAACAGGCGACAGGGGATCACACACACAAGTCTACAAGATCTTTCATGGGAGGAAGCCACCATTAGCATGTTTGGTCTACAAACAACGCTTCGTCACAAAAACACACCCAAGAAGTGACACAGGAAATCTGCAGAAATGTATCTGTTATCATTCTTGTGGATGTTGTTGTTGGCACAGACAGGCAAAGAATATTTTCCACAAGCTGCAACAACAGCTTTGTTTGTGTTGCAATTGCAACACAAAGTTCCTATTGTTACAGGTAACGAACGCTACAGAGAAGCTGTTAAAAATAGACCTTTTTAGCAGCCGACATTTTGGCGAGTCACAGTGGAAAAGCAAAGGTGTAATCAATGACTATTGTACAAAGTAGCTGAAAGTACAAACAAATACAATTTAAAGCAACTTTATTGATGGCAACAAATGAGTAAAAATGAGTAGTAAAACATTTCCCTCTATTGCAGTCATCGCAGAAGGCCGATCATCTTTTGGGAAAGTTTTGTCAGCGATAGAATCCATTTTGTCATTTGTAGCAACATGGATGAAGTTCATGGGTCAGTTGGCGTACCGGTCGATGGCAGTCAGAAGTGAAGAGAACTACAAAGACAAACTGCACACTTAATTGCCCAGATAAGTGTTGAGGTAATGTGTAAAATACTATTCAGATGAATGGGCAGAGTACAATCATTCATACATAAAATATGTACAGAGAGGTACACGAACACTCAGACACTGTTTTTCAATTGCACATTATGATGCATAATACGTAGAACTGCAAAACTGGAGGATTTAAACTTGATTTAAATAAACATGAGGATGTGGAAGCACCTTGGTTTATAAGTGATGCTTCAGCTTCTGAATCAATAAATAAATTACAAATTATTCTGCTTTATATTTGGGGTACAAAGGCCAAAACGTGATGCTGGCGTACCTGGCACCTCTAATCTGCAGTTTCAGAGCACGCAGGCTCCGTTACATCATCAGCAGGTCCATTTTCACAATAAAGCAAACGTACTGTTGGTATGAGCGTGAAGTCTACATTATAATGCAAAACTAAAACAAAGACAGTAACAAATACAAAGGGTGAACATAAGGTCATATTGGCAATGAACCTAAAAAGCACTTGAATGTAGTTGAATCAGTTTCACTGTTTAACTTGATGGCGTAAGAGAAAAGAGGCTAAATGTGCGGTTCTGTTCAGTTATCGAAGCTCATCTGTAATCGCCGTATTTCCAAAATCTTCCTCCCATGAAACCGAACAGGTAAGCGAACACTCGGGTTTCATACCACAACAGAAAACGCTGCCAGGCATCCCGCTGACAGAAAGCAGCCACGTTTCTGACTAAACCGAAGATTGACGGGTCGATAAAAGTGTTCAGGAAAAAAAAGTGCATCATATTTTGTCAAATACTGAGAAAGAGCTGAACATTAAAAACAACACTTTTATAATAAACATCTGAAATATCTTTTTTTTTTCTCACTAGTGCAACAACAGACTGGATCAAATAAAGAGAAACATTATTAACCTGCAGGCAATCAAAGCTCTTTAAACATCTAATCATTTTCTTGTCACAGTAGCAGAACAGTTAAGAAGGCAACTTAATGATTGATGCTTGAACACAAACATGCCAATATTATACACATCGCTCTTTTTTTATAGAAATAAATAGCTGAATTATCATCTTTATCCTCTTCTTAAATAATTTCCATCTCTATATGACTCTGATGCACATTTAATATAAAGTATCTAATACACAACTGCAATTTCAACACTACTGTTATACATAATATAATTCTCTATGTTTATCTTTCATTCAAATTTGGAGAGAAAATGCTTACAGAATGAAGACCTTAATATTATATAACATCAAATGTTTTCACTCTTTTTTTCTTTTCTTTTTTTACAAACAGTATGTACAGAGTAGCTGATAGCGAAGGCAGGATTGTCTAAAACTTAAACTCAACAAGTGCTTTGTGTTTTCGCTATTGTGTTTTACACCTTTCCCACAAAAGAACGTCCCTCCAATGAATCAGTACCAGTATAGGACAATAATATGCAGTACTGATGTAGTACAGCACAAGAAGAAATGAACATCCACAACTGTTCTCTCACATTCACCTGAAACATCATCACTACAATATGCAGCTACACAATTCCCCATCAACATGTTTGACAATAAAGCAGAGACCCCGAAACAGCAGCTCGCAGCTCTACTCGTCAGTGCCTTAAAAAGAGCCCCCCGTGACAAACGCCTGCTCGGCTTTCGCGGAAACGGTTCATCGTGCTCTGATGCACACTCCGCCCACGAAGGTTAACACGTGTTGTAAAGACAAATGAGGTGTGCAAGCAAAAAAAAAAAAACGGTAAACATGCCTCAAGGTGATGATGTTCTACTAGAAGTGTGAATCATTTTTTTCAACCTGTTTCAAAACTATGTGCATGTTTCCTTGAAAGCAAAGTGATTGTAAATGTCTAATAGGAGCTCCAGTGATTCAGTATTGCACTTTCATGTTTGGGGGCTCATAAGAGACTGAAAAAGAGAAAATCAATGCAGCAGAGGCAGAAGAATCCTGACTTTTGGTCCCTAGTATGGGTCAAGTTTAAGAAATTCCCATTAATAGTCTTTTCTATGGACCGTATTTGTAAACGCATCTTTCCACATTTCTTTAGACTACTCACCCCCCCAGCTTGTAATGACGCTTGCTGTGCTATACATTTGTAGTTTCAAAGCCGAGAACAGCCTGACAACGTTCCAAGAATTATTTTCTCAGACTTGACAAAGCTCCTCCAGAGCCAGAAGACAGTATTATTCCTTGTGAATGATAAACGGATCTTGATCTGTTAAGTTACCTGCAGCACAGAGGAGCGTACACTAAGTGTCACCACAGTATTGCTACTCATACTTCTTGAGAATGTCTGCGCCGTAGGCTAAACTCAATTGTAGCCGTGAATCACACCAAATCAAATTCCTAATTTGAAGGTGATACTGAGGACGTGATCTCTTGGTTTTGAGTTCTGCAAACTACTAAAAGGTAATACCTGTTCCTTGCTGCAAAGAGTACAATGTCAAATCACACCAGCTGGCCGTTGGCTGTGTAAGTGCTTGGAAAAACCAGCAGAGGGAGCCACATGGTGTCAGTTGAAAAATATAAACAGGGGGAGGGGGGGGCCCTCAGCCATGATGAGCACTACCAATAGGAATGGCACTGTTTAGTATGGTTAAGTATGAAAGTCACATGATATATAAACACTGAAACACCTGTATACACCTGGAGACCACGTTCCATATGAAACTCAGCACCCTTATGCTCAGTAAGAGCTGCTTACACTCAAATCCAGAGATTCACTTTCTGTACATGGTCCCTGTACATGGTCCCTCTTCCCTCATTAATGGCACATTGGAGAAAACACTCACTGGAATGAGGACAGACACCGTTACAAATGGCACCAGTTTTTTGAGAGAAATGCATGATGGATCAGATGGATCGCTGCCATGCAATTAGCTAAGAAGACTGTCAAGGTATGCGTGTTACAGTGAGGCTGTCCTTGCTCTCTCCACTGTGCCTGGAGCTGGTGCAGCATGTTTCTCTCCTGGGTGGAAGCAGTAAGTGTTGAAAGTCGTCCAGTTTGAAGACACCGTAGTGCCGGGCAGGCAGGATGGAAAACCATTTATTCTATCTTCGACACGCACGTGAACATAAAGCTCCTGTGTCAAGACTCTTAACCTTGAGTACTCAACATTTCTTGAGAAAAATTAATTTCTCTACAATTTCTGACTCCTGCCACCATTGCATGTACTTCTGTGGAAAGTATGTACGCTTCTTAATGTGCTCCTGCCCACGAGCCGTTGGTGTTGAAGGTAGTCTTGAGTATGTGTCAAGCATTAATACAGCGCTGTCACCCGGCTCCAGACGTTTCAAGAAAGGGATCTGGCTCTGTGCGACAACACAATCCTTTTTTTGTGGTGAAAGCAGGAGACGACTACGAAAGAGAAATCTGACAGTTGTGTTGTGTTATTTGAGTCTGTAAGCTCTAGGACAGGCCCTTCTTGTGATATATAGTGCCATCGTGTGTCCAAAGAAGCCTCCTGACCAACATGAAGGAGTTATTGATTTCCCCTTACTGGAATAGTGTTAAGTTATGAGAGTATGCACATTGAGCCTCGGTCCTGGTTCATCATGGCGATCTTCTGTTGTTTCTGTCGGTGCTGCAGACTTTTTCAACCCCGTGGAGCGGGCTCAAAACAGCTGGGTCTTTTTGATTGACCGAGCCAAGATGGCGCCTCTCCAAGACTTGAAGAATCTGCACAAATGATGTTAGCAGAGACTGTCTGCTTTCACATGGAGGATTTTGGAGAAGCCGGGTCTCTTTTTCAGAGCCTGAAAGAAAAAGGATGGAAAGGATATCAGAATCTCGTTTATTTTTTCCAAAATCCTCCTTTTCCGCCTGTTGTCTTCATACCTTTATGTTTCCTACCATTAGCAGAATTACAGAAAGCTATTAAAAACGGTAAAACATTGAGATGCAGCAGGTTAAGGATGACTTTAAGCTTCACCTTTAACTCCCCTTAAATAAATGGATGATTAAACATGAGAGGAGAACTCTGGCTTCCTTTTTACAGCAAACTTAAAGAGGGAGCGATAAAAATAAATTGTAGCTTTTGTAGAGCTTACCTAACTGCTGTGAGCAACCGTGCCATCTTGAGTGTGATATCCAAGAGGAACACACTGTAAACTGACTCATAAAAACAAAACATAAATAAAAGCTGGGATTTCACAGCTTTTATATCTCTTGTTTGTGTGTGGTCAGCTATAAGCATGACCCAAGCCTCTCACAGTAAGCCTCTGCTCGAGTGAGTTAGCACTGGCGCATCCACAACCAATCATCACTGGGACTTCCAGGATTGAGTCATGGTTTAAAACAGTGTGTAATGTGATAAAAATAGATGCATTTTATCCTCTGAACCACTATTGGCCGAGCTGTTAGTCATGTGCATACAGTGTTGCAAAACTCCAAGGACATGTTGGCTGAAAAAGGAAACTAAATTCAGAAGAAACGGAGTGCAGACCTCTAAGTCATCACTGCACTCGATGGATGGCAGAGTGGTTATACAGGAAAAGAATAATGTGTGGGAAAAATAACGTTTCTTCCTTTTGGGAGCATAAACATGCACACAAAATATAATTTGTTCATGTGCTTACAACATTATGGGTGTTGGTTTCCCTCATGGAAACTTGTGCGTGCAAACCTTTAAGATACTTTGGGATGTCTGGCAGACACCTGCCTCCTCACTTTGTATCAGCACTTCACCACTGTAGTGAATCAAAACCAGACAGGCCAGACAAGCCTAGGTGAGTCAGAACACTAGTCACAGTTCGTCACGTCCAAAATGACAATGACTGAGTCAGATTTCAACAAAAACAAGGATCAGTCCTTATTGGAAGGGGCTGCTCGTATAACCTCTCAATATTGAAAGTATTAGATAGTCTGACAGGCAGCGTTCCCCTCTGTGCTGTCTGCGGCTGCGAGGGCCTGGCTGGCCCACGGCCGAGCACCATACAGTAACTAGTACCATCATAAAGTGAAAAATAAATACTGATCCAAACCCGATCCTGCTGGTGCACATTGAATGGATCGGACGTTCGGAGTCTTCCCGAACTAACCTATGGACAGTCTGCTCCTGTGTGTGAGTAGTGGGTGATGTGTGCTGTCACCTGAAGCTTGTTAACCATCTCATCAAACAGTTTTCTAGCTTCAGGGCTGTTGGGGTCCTCGAAGTAGTCTTCTATACCAATCTGAACCACGACAGACTTCAGGTTGCGGCAAACACCTACATGAGAGGAAGGAGGATTTAGGATGGATTCATTATTTGGTGCTACTTTTCTTTCTCAGGGTCAACAGTGCGTTCTTATAATATAGTTGTACTTATATCTATGAAAAGCATTAATGATTACACTGTAGTTTTCTTTTTCTAAGTTATTCATGTATTCTTAAATAACCATAACAGCTATAGCTGCCTGAATGTAACAGCAACCTATATTGTTTTAGTAGCCTAACCTTATCAACAAATGTGTTTCGCCTGATGTTAACAATACCTCTATATCACAGAAATATTGCACAAGATTACACTGTTCAGTACAGTTATTGCACACTTGCAGCACAGTCCTATGTGACCAGTATTAGGTACTAAATCAGAGCGACAATATTACAGTTAACAGTTGCATATTCTCGACAGGATCTTAGACAGTAAATCAGTGCAGCAGTATTCAAACTCACTGTTGAAGTGGAGCAGGGCTTTGGGGGTGACTGGTGTGGAAGTGAGCACCAGCATCTCCAGACCTTTCAAACCCTCTCTGCAAACCTCTGCTGCCACCTCCTGGTTGATTTCACTCACATGATCCAACTCCAGCACCTGGAGGCGCATGCAGTTCCTCGCTGGTGGTGGTGGGAGGTTGAAGGGGGTGAATGGAGGTAAGGAAATACAGAGATAAGGAGATAGGGGAGTGTCGAGATAATAGAAAACAGCAAAGGTTACAGTCGTGCATAAAGGCTTGTTTTAAGTCTCAACCAGTAGTGCTTAAAATGCAAATAAAGAACACAGGAATACATTTACATCCAGGTATGACAATAATATTGTTTAATCATCTCTGTCCCCTTTCTGTTTCTGTATGTTAGATTGTGGTCATGATTTAAAAAGCAGAGTGAGGACGTTTGAGTACTTCATTAAGTGTTGTAGCTAAAATCACTGAAAGTGATTAAACTCCAAACTGAATGGTAGTTTTATAAATCATATTTACCAAGCGAGGCCAGCCCCTGAATGCCACATCCAGCCCCGCCCACACCAAGAGCACGGAGGTGTGGCCAGCATCTTCCAATCGTCTGCAGGCATCGGTTACTGAAACGAGCCGGTTGTTGACTAAAAGAGACAAAATACAGTCCATGGTCATACATTTATTAAGCACTGATATCAGGACAGATAGAGTACTTGGTATTAATCAAAAGTAAGTATAATTCTTTGTCTATTACCATGGATGTAATGGCGCCACCTGTAGGGAGATGATGTCTCTACAACCTGCTCCAAGGGCCCAGATTACCTCCTGGCCAACTGGATCTGTGGCACTTCTGCAACACAATAAGTGTAATGTCACACAAATTGTGTTTCGATCACACACATGTCAACAGCACAATACTGAGTATAGTCTTTTTGTCTCATTCAAGCAAAGTCACTGAGGTTTGAACTGTAATATTTGTGCAGAGATGGGACCTGGGTCTACCTGTAGGTTACAGCCTGCAGAGCTCGGCAGTAGCAGCTGGCCAGCCAAAGAGAGCGATCGGTCAGCAGGTTGGGGCAGTGTGAAATCTTCAGTATCAGAAGGTTGCTTCCTGTGGCCTTTAACAACGCCTCCAGACCTTCCTCCAGACAGCCACTTAGACGGGAACATGAGGGAAGGTCAACAGAAAAAGACAGAGACAGAGGAAGTAATTCTCCTGTCCTTCAGAACAGCACTTCTACCATTTATAGCACAAAACAAAATGTTCCTCCAGTGTTTGCAGCGACACAGGAAGCAGCATGTCTGTTTCGTCAGAGCAGATTCGAGCTGCAATGGCACTCTGTCACCTTCACACAAAACATTTAGACATAAGCATCTTCACTTTTTCTGCTCAAATTAAATTTATACTCCCGTCTTCTTTCAGGAAATTAGAACTGATATTTTACATGCAGATTGAAATCCAACAGCACAAACACATCAGCACTCAATCACTTATGTTTTTTGTTAGCCTCCTCTCACCAATCACTGTTTAAGGAGTCATTTAGTACATCACTCATTTCATTAGTTTGCAAAGCAATTAACTTATCAAAGCAAAAATAATTCACAATGCAGTAATAAGTAACCCAAAAGTGTTTTTTTTTTTGGAAACTGTGTTCAGGTGTAATTTCCTGTGTCTATGTATATGTGTCTTACCGTGTGCTTTTAACATACTCCTCCTTGGTTTCCTTCTTGCTCCGCTGTCTTGGTTTGAGGTTTTGCAGGATGAGGGAGTGCGTCTGAGTGCACCACTGAGACAACGTGCTCAGGAACTAAAGCAAGAATATTCGTAGATCAGTGAAGATCTTCATTATGCACAGCAAAGATGATGCACAACATGTTATTGCTTTGATAAATGCTACTGACTTAGAGTCTGCACACAGTACATGTTCACTATGCACCTTGGAAGAAATGCGAGCGTTCTCTAGCAGCACTCTGGTCCACACAGCTGGGTGACGAGCCACAAACTTCCAGTCTCGGCAGACCTCAGCAGCTCTCAGCAGGGTTTTAGTATCCAGGTAGGTGAAGATACAGAAGAGAGCTGCGCGCATCTTCAGGATCTCTGGACTGATCACCTCGTTGGATCTGGACGGGCTCTTTTCATGGCGGCATGGCTTGTAGACCGCATCAGACCGACCTGTGGGAAGATAAAGGCTTTCAACCCCCTTTAATGCGGTGGTCCGCACAAGTTTTGGCCGTTACTGCTGCGTTGAATTTGGACAACATTTTCAAAGATTTATTACAATATTAAATACCGGACGGCTTTGGAAGTAGAAAGTTAGCATATTTTTAAGGTTTCAGTATATTCTGATACAAAATTAAAGGCTGAACACGAAGTTCAAATCCTTATTATTGTCCCCGAATAGCTACACTGACAAATCCAGTCTTCACTTGGTCCACTGTCTAAACATGTCAGTTCTATCAGAAAGCCAGTGGTGATGTTTGACTTCATCCTCAGTTATGAATTCCACATAAGCAAAGCCATCCAATCTTGTCTCTACCATTTTAGGAATATTGCTACATCTCAGCTTTTCTTGCTTTTTGTCAAGTACTTTGTAACAGCTGATTTTGATACTGAACAACTGGAACAAATAGACCTGATTAGGATTACCATTATATGAGTGTGTACACGTAAAAAAAAGACAGAATAAACTGACCTGCAAGCTTGGAGAGATGGTCTATAGCTTACTTTTATTACTGTAGACCAGAAATGAACAAATAAACAGAACAAATAAACAATGTTTAAAATTCATTCTGTCACATGGTGGCGCCAACCTTCAACAAGACACTCAATGAGATTACATAATTTTTTTCCTGTCTCTATTGCTATCTATTGGCTAATACCATGTGCCCAATCCAAGTCTGTCTTATTCCTCCAAGCAAGATTGCTCCTAGATGACTCATTTCATCTTTGGCCTTGGAAGGCGTCTGCTCAAAACCATCAGGGCTATGAACCAATACTTACACTCTCGCTCTCTCTTCCTCTTTCTTTCTTTCTTTCTCTCTCACACTCACACTCACACCACCCACGCTCAAGACTGCCAAATGCACTAAAAAAGCCGAGCTGTGCGTTACATGCTGAGAGAAAACGGTGTGCTTGTAGATACATACCATCTGATAGAACCTGGCAGAGACTCTCCAAATAAGGAGAACTACGCCAGTGCAGAGGAATGCCAGTAACATGTTGAGTGTTACGTGAGAAAAAACCTTTGAGTTCATGGGGCAGTCATGGCAGTTTCTACCAATTTGTCATAGGGCTCTGGGTTGGCCCAGTTTCACTCTTTCCCAGACTGCATCAGTCCGACTGATATTTAGAAGAAACCCAACAGCAGGTGAAGGAAAATGGAGGGCAGCAATGAGTTTAAGGATTTTGGCAGCGCGGGAAGTTAACAGAGAGATGCACAATCTGTGGTGGATCTGAAGAACTGAGCATGATTGGCCGTCTGACTTGGCGGCTCACTTGTAGAAGCAAAGCTTAGAGAGAAGGAACTGAGATGGTACAACAGGCAAATAGCACTCTCGCCAATACAAAAATGTTCTACCAAAGACACAAACATACAAAGGAATTGTATATCAGCAACAGCAATGTATGACTTGGTTTACTCATCTAGTGGTGGTAAATAAAATAGTGTTGAGTTGTTCAAATGAAATGTACTATTCCCTTTCTTGTTGGTTAGTATTAGCTTGAAACTGCTTTTTTATGCAATGTTGAACAAATGAAATACTTTGTTTTTAGTTTTCTGATCAATGCGCCGGCAATTTGGACACATTTTGGTTATTTGTCACAAAATTATAAAAAAAAAAAATCACATATCAGAGTGCTCTCTTGCTTTTTAAAGCTACCGCAAGGAACTTTTATTTTGTTTGACTTTTGGCGGCCCTTGTGGACAAAAGCAGTAGTGTTACGGAACACCGGAGAAAACCTCTAGTTTTACTGCAGCGGGGTCTGTCCTGGTTCTAGTTCTCCCGTGCCTCCATTCCCTGCAGCGGGCCCACCAATACAGCCTGGGCCTCCAGCAGCATGGTGTCAGTGTTGGCTCGCTGCGAGAACAGGCGGAGTAGCGAGGCGAAGCTCTGCTCCTGGCCCCAAGGAGAAGCAGCTGCTGCCGGGCGTGGAGCTTCCCACCTTCCACTGGAGCTGAAATTGCATGTCGAAGGCGGCAACTAAGCCGGATCTGGGTCTGTCCGCAGTGGGCTGGTAGCTGACAGAGGACCGGCTGCAGTCTGAGCTGAAGGACTTCTGGTGCACCTGCATGCCGTTAATTGTTTCGTCTGATTTCGCGGGGAATCTGACCCAATGACAGGCATTAAGAATAACTATAAAAATAGTCGTCTCGCTGATGGTCTCGTTTACATATAGAGGAATCAGCATGAAACTGAGACTTTTTCATAACCAGTTAAAAATTCCTTGCAGTGTTGTAATGTTACCAACTGGCTTTGTAGCTAGTTAAGTTAACTCAAGTTCATTTATATCAGAGGGCTGTAAAGCACACTACAGTCTCTGTCCTTAGACTTGTGATTTTGATTTTTTTTTTTTAACTCCAAAAACATTTATGCTGGTGTTTGAGAAAGTTACTTCAGAGTTGAAGTCATTTCTCTTGAAATGTTTACATTGTTGAGTCGACACACTGCAGCAGATATGGGGCCTCTTTTCTCAATGTTTACATTATATGCTCATGGCTGATCCACACTCAGTTAGAATGAGCTTTGGTCAGTGACCCAGCTCCAGCAACATTACAGCGACTACATCTCAACCTGATCTAGATCCCCATCAGTCACTGCTCTTATGGGAGTCATTTTAAGGCCTTTGTTCTATGAATCCTGGCTCCCATGTGTCTGGATGTTTGATTGGAGAGTGTTTGACAGTGTGTATATTTCTAAAAATAAAGAACTTCCCAGAGAGAAGTTACTACCTGTGTTAGGGCGATATCCTGCCCTGCCATGGTGAGGATAGGGAGGGGCAGACTGCTGGACTTCAGCCACAGCTCTCCTCTCGTGTTCCCACATCTCCACCTCAGACTCGGTGGTCCGGGAGCCCACGTCGGACACATCTCCTTCCTCGCCTTCGGTGCTGTTTCTGTAAGGTCGCCGTTGCCAGTTCTGGATAGCCTGTTTACGAAGACCCCAGTTCCTCGATCCTCCACATCCTGGGGAGCGCTCGTAACCCCCCTCACCCAGCCGGCACTGCGTGTGATAGTACTGAGCCTCGGGACAGTCCTCCATGGGATGCATCTCCACGCTGTCACTGTCGTAACCTCCAGAGCCCTGTGAGACGGACTTGATCCGCCCTGATGCTCTGCAGAAAAAGAGAAGAATCTGGATTTTAAATAGGATACTCAAATAGTAAAAAAAAAAAAAAATCTGTAATAATCAATATGGAAATGCTGTAAACCAAGCTAACCGGCTGCCATCCATCGCTTCATATTAGGGCCCCAAAAAAATCAGGCCTGACCCTACATGAACCTCGTTAGCCCAACCCGAGCCCGAAACACGGCAGCAGTTTTGGGCCCGAGCCCGATGGCATTATATATTATAGCCTGACCCAACCCGAACCCAGCAGGTGCGGTCGGGCCGAATTGGACAGAAAATTGCAAGCTCTACATTATATTAAACAAACAAATGAGAGTGGTATTGATCTTCTCATCTCACCATTGGCAAGAAAGCAAATCAGTGTATTTCACAAAATGTGGATGTATTTCTTTCATCTATTCATGATGCACCATCAGCTCTGCTTTTAACCAACAAGCCAAATGTGGGTGTTTGAAGTGGTCTGCTAGTACTATTTTTAATTTAGAAAAAGTAAAACATATTTTCTAAATCCTTTGGTGACCTGTTTCACTTGATCCCTCTGATTATTAGTGTCTGAGACTTCAGTTCCTTCAGCACAGAGTATCACCCTTAAAGGTCCACTGAGGAAAACTGTATCATTGGTATCAATTCATTTGACAGTACTGGAAGCAATTCTGAAACCAAAATAAACCACAAATAGGTACCAGCTGCTTTTCAGAGGATCTATAAGGGCATCTTTTGTACATACGTACTTGCTACAATACTTAAAATAACCCACCAGCAAAGACAAGTAACGAGCAGTTACAAACATCAGGCTCTCAAAAAGTAGGACACTTTTTCTTTTTTCCATTTCTGCCTTCTCAGTGCGTCCTCCTCTTTCTCTCAGCATTATATGAAGAGTGGAAGCTTCCTGCATGCATAATTTTCAATCAATAGAAATTAAAGATATTCACAGATGATACTGCAGGTAGCCCTTATCAGCTCTTGCGGGGGGAAAGGATGCACAGAAGATGAGATGCATGTCATGCAACAAATGTGAATTTACATTATGTAAAATCAAAACAGAGCTGCGTGTTTATGGTTTCAACCATCTAAACTGGGTCAATGACACAACTGTGGTTCATTGCAGTTTAATGAGCTGGTTGTAAAGCAGTAACCTGATAAAAACTGCTTAAATGTTTTGTCAACATTAAATCAATAGCAAGATGTAATGGCATGATCCCAATCATGAGAAGCTCATGATTAGATTAATTAATGATTTCAGGGGGTGTATCCAGAATGCCAATTAGCATCCGAGAGAAAATATAAAAAGGCTCAAAATTCATTGGAAGAAATGAGATATGCTGTTTGGAATTGAATGGAAGCTGATAAAAAAACGTAACAATTGTTATTGAATATTAGCAAAAATAATTTTTCTGTCAATCGAAGAATAGATTCATCATCTAGTGATGTAATAATTGTGTTCTGTATTTTTTTTATTTCAACTAATCTGGGAATAATAAAAAACATACAAAGAGCCACAAGTCAAACAGGTTATATCCATGGCACTTCCACAGTTTCCATTGTTTTTCTGAGTTACTGTAACTGCAACTGCCGTACTTGCAAACATTTATACACAGGACTGACATGTTGTACCCCGAAGGCCAGGGGCAGCGAGCACAGTCGATGGTGGTTAAAAGCTCTGCGGCTCCAGGGGTTCTGTTATATTTCTACACAACTGACAGGCTGTGTTTCACTACATCAGCTCTCACAAGGTAAGAAAGAGGAGGTGCACCAAATTCAATTGTCAGCCAAGAGCCACACAATCTCCAGCTGGACCTGCTTTTTTACCAGACTACTACTATCAATCCAGACAGATTGATAGACAGAGATATTGTCTTCCTGAGAAATATAATGTTTCCTAGTGAGGGTCTACAGTTGTACCATTAAACCCCTTCATGGCACAGCGGTGTTCGGATGCATTACATTTCAGAGGTGTCAAATCATGTGTAAATGTGCAATAGGAGCAGTGTGCTGACTTACCCTGTGCTGGGGGACGAACGTCGGTCCGACACTTGGTACATGCCTCTTGTGCTCCCAGAGTTGCTGGAGTTTCTCTGGAGAGACACAAACATGCAGAAAGAAAAGTGCCATCAGTAATAATTACACAGCAGCCGTAAGCTTCCTTAGACATTCCCCTGGCTTACGTGTATTCCTTAGTAAGCTCCTGGAGAGCGCATGGTAGCGTTGATATTATGGCTGTACCATAAACTTTCAGATAAGTGTGGAAATTACAAGTTACATGACATATACAGGTGTTTGCATTTCTAAAATATAATACAAAACAATACACTTCAAACTTTATCATGAGAGAAACAGTATTTCATTTTAAAGCAGTTGCCACAGTTAGTCAGCTCTACAATAGAAATAAAGACTGCTTTATAAAGACAATCAAATCAATCAGTCAATAAAATCCAAAAGTAGCCTTCTGCTGTTATCGTGGGAAGCTTCTCTACAGCTCAGCTCGAACAAATAATCAAAACTGAAATAAACAGCACAAGTGATCTTTATATTAAAGACATTTTCTGTATGGTTCAGTAGCACAGTTTGATCTCACTTCAGTTTACAGATTTGAGCATGTGCATTATAATGACTAGTGACAGCATCAGGATAAAATCAAGAACATCAAAAGGACAAACCCTTTCCCAACACAATAAGAATAAATGATGATCAGTCGTAGATGACAGCTTGATAGCTTGTTGAGATCATTGTGATCATTTCCTCCTCAGGGTGGCACAAAAGAAAAGCTCAAGAAGTAATGGAATGGGTTCATTTTCTGTGGAGCATTAGCGTAATGAGTACATTTCATCAAGTCATTCTTAAAATTAAATGTTTGGATCTACAGCACCATTAAACAGCATTTTAGAAATGGAAAAAAATAACCTAAAGAATCAGAAATCAAGAATACAAATATTTGAAATAATGGAATAAATTGATAAAATATGATGCTCACAATCAAACAATATTGAATGATTCAGCCCTGGAGAGTTTTAAGAGTTATTTTTCCCACTTTGTATGTGTATGTGTGCATGTGTATACATGTGTATATGTTTGCGTACTGTCATACTAGCCTACTTTTGTTCTTCTTTTATGAAATGTAACAATTTCTTTTTATTCTTTCTCTTTTTATTGTAATTATTGTCTTTCATTTTTTATTTATTCTACTTTAATACCATTATTATCTTTTCGTTATCAAATATATAAACATTCTAGGAAGTATGTCCTGCAATAAAATATTTGAAAAAACAAAAACAAATGGACCATTTAGGACCATGAATGACCAGAACAAATTCCATCAAAATCCTTTTCAACTGGCCCCTCCCCCACATATCAATCTTGTGTCCAAAGTTGACAAATTGTCCTTAAGGTGGAGGTACAGGAAGGGCTGTGGACTGTCTAAAATGTAAAAGGGTTCACCCTTTGTGGAGCATGAATCTGCTCAATAAATGTTATACCAAACATAAAAGTGATTTTATTTTGCCAAATAGTGATGCTACAGGGGGTCACCAAAGTCATTAGGAATCATCCACTGGGGATCATGAATATCCATGAAAATCCTTCATGGCAATCTAGTAGTCCAGACATTTTGCTCTTGTCAAAATGATTGGATGGACAGATTGACTGACTGACCAATCCTTACTCTAGCAACACAAAAACCTTCTGCTTCTTTCCCATTACACAAACATTTGGCTGTGGCTCTGAAGGCAGGTGAGCTTTATTTAAGTGTATTTGATGGTGAGTGTGCAGCCTGACTCTCACTCTCTCTATTTGCCTGAGAGCAAAATCCTCCTAGTCACTCCTGTGCCTGTGCATTGAAGTATGTAGTGTGTAGTGTTTTGTGTGTGCGTGAAGTATTGTGGAACTGTGCGTACCAGACTAGCGACGTGCCACAGAGGGATAATGTGCACAAACACAGACACTGTCACTCCCTCTCTCTCTCTTTTTCTCTGCTTCTACTCACACAGCTTGTTTCTGGCCTAGTGCCAGTGAAAATGGACCATGGAGGAAACAGCCAAACACCATCCGTGGCTCTCATTCCTGGCCAGCTTGTAGTAAAAGCACAACAGGGACAAATCTCCCAGAAATGGATGGAACCCAATCCATTCAGCAGAGGCTAAAACTCCAATCTGGTGACCTAAGTTTGGTCTTAAACTGGAGTAGTTCTCTATTTCTCCCTCTTTGTTGTCTCTCTGTTAAATGCCCAGAAGCTTATAAAATACTACGATCAAATCAAAGCTATCGCCACCTTCCACTTCCTGTGAAGAAAGCATTAGATTCAGCTTGAGTAGAATGAGAGAGTGAGCAGGAAACAAGCCATCCATCGCTTCTCTCGCTGTCAGTCCTAAAATACCTCTGTGGCTCTAAAAACCTGTCTCCTAGGAGATAAGGGCGACCTCGCTGATGTCGTGACAGAGAGACGGAGACTGAGGTTGTGAGGGTGGTTGGGTGACATCTCCGGGCTTTCCCTTGACAGAGTAACAAGGTGCCAACTAGTTTGTGTCTCCACACTTGTACTTGTCATCTTGATTATTCACAGTCCCACAGTAAACTGACGGATGTCTAAATCCAAAGAGAGGACGTCTAAATATAAGCAGCAGTGTTTTGGGTCAATCACAGTTCGGATGGTTGAGAAAAAAAAGTACATTTCATTTTAAAATGTATCCGACTAAATCGTGGTTGCTAGAAAAATGCCATTAAACTTCTTTCAGACGTCTTTGCAACAGGTTAATGTTCTCTCATTTCTCTCAGGCAGACATGTGAAACATTACTTCTGATTCAAAATCATGTTGGAACCTCAAACCAGAGCAAGAACTGGTTTCCATGGCAGCAAACAGATCAGTGCAATGAAACAGGTCGCCCCATTTTCAAGAGGTGTCGGATAATTTGAATAAGTGACATTTTTAAGAACTGCTTTCACATTTTCATCATCGTGTAATAAGACAAAAGAAGAGGGGGGAAATGCCACAATGGACGCTGTAGAGAGCCTGAGGGCAAAGGGCTGATGTCAAGTTTCCGGAGCACGAGGAATCTTTTAATGCTCTCTGGTCAGCATGTTGTCTGCTGCAGAGCTTCAGTATTTCTACTGATGCTTAATGCAAAGCAGACAGAGATTTGAGCCCCTAATTTCACTCCGTTACAACCATAAGTCTAAACATTATGATCCTATAACGGATGAGCAACACATTACAAAACAAAATGCTGTAGATACGTACAAATGTACCTTTTGTCTGGGGCTGTTTGGGTTAGGCCCCTTAGTTCCAACTAAGGGAAATCTTACATGTAAAGCAACATATAATAGTGTGCTTCTGCTTAGGTGTTCTTAACTGTTTTAACATGACAGGTCTTGTGCACAAACTAAAGTCAGGTTTATAAAGAGATGTAATGCAATTTTGGGGTACTTGCCTAAAGCCTGCACAGATCACTGACCGCAATGCTATCAACTAGGGCTGAGACGATTACTCAAGAAACTTGAGTAATTTGATTACAAAAAACTATTGATGCAAATTCTTTGTGTTGTGCCTTTGTTCAATTTACAAAAAAATATTTACAAACACACTCTCTTCTTGTAGATTTTGAGGTGATTTTAGTTTACTGAATTTCACCTGCTGATGTATGAAAACATGGGAGAGTACTGGACAGTTACTGTACTTCAGCACTATAAAGAAGAATAGACTTGTCGTCTCGGTCATCTCAAAGTCTATTACGTCTTCGACCCGTGGTGCATTACAGAGACATTACTCAATATAATCAAATGCTAATGCACTATCCAACAGCTCTGTCAAGGACTGTCAGAGAGCTGGGAGTAGCATTGTGGGGAGTCGTTGGTGGCAAAACAAAAATTACAAATACATATAACAGAATCACAGTGTTATGAAATAAAAGTCAGGTTGTCTAATTTATTATAACAATTCAAATGGCCACAAAATTAAATCTAAAACAGCTCATATGATTTGAAAAGCGCATTTTTAAATTGCAGTCTATATTATTGTGCAGTTCAATGTGATCAGTATCTATTTGTAAATCATATATTGTATTATGATTTGTTGCCTGGAGAGTGTTAAAACAGGAAATGTCTTGAATGTCATCAATTCAGTCAAGCCTAATCTGAAATCTGATCTCACGGTGCATTTTGCAGAAGACACATGTTAATGCATGATTTCCTCACCTGGCGTCCATTGCCCTTTGAGGCCTGGAGGCTGCAGCGTCCCAGGCTGCCGTTCGGTGTGGTGCCACAGCTGCTGATGATCTGCAGCTGTTTTTCGGCTCGATCCGCTCGGTCCAGCAGCTCCTCGATGAACTGCTGCAGCCGCACCTTGGCATTGGCTTCACGTGCCGCCGTCTCCTGAAGGAACTGGTCAATCTGGGCGACTTCCCTGAAGGCAGAGAGGGGAAGGGCAATATCAATGGGACATTCTTTAAATTCGGGGGTATGCTCTGTCTCATCAAGGGGGAAATTACAGAACTGCTGAACCTAGCTTGTAGTGAAAACAACGTACATGTTCAGCTTAAACGGTTGCTGCAAGACACTTTAAAAAAAACGAAAAAAATCTCTCTTACATGCCGTTCTGTCCGTTTTGAGACTACACACGATGAGGCTTGGTGACAGAGTTAAATACACAATACCAACGCACATGGAGGGAGAGGGAGAGAAGAGGAATAGAGGGTGAGAGAGCAGCTGTATATTTATACCGCTGCAGGCACAGCAGGGCCAAGTTCCCGTCATTTTAAGGGGCCGTGTGTTACTCAGATACTGAGGCAAACAAACCAGGAATTCAGACAGTGTTAGTAGTTGGTTGCAGCCTGGAGGCACACTGTATGTTTCTAGCATTCCCTGCAGTGATTTTGTTCAGTGTCATCTGAAAAAATGATGACGGCCATGCGTACGGTCTGGTGATCCTAAATGTTCAGATGTGGTTTGTCAGATTATATTAACTCAATACATTTAAGCTTGGATTATGAATTATACAAGCATTCCCTAATGTTCAGTATGAGCAGTCTCTGCATTGGTGGGAACTGGCCTTGACTTGGTGTATGTCCAAGTTAAACCAAAAAATGTCAATGCAACATGTTCTACCTCAGTGACACGATGAAAAAACACGGAAATTCAAAGCCACCTCTGTCCTCATACAACTCTGTTGATTCTTTCAACCTGCAATAACTGATTATTTTTAGCCACTTGGAGGCAGCAGAAACAAGTTGTGTCATGTATGCGTTTGTATCCACATGGCAAATTTTAATTCAATATTCATCCCCCTTTTAGCTCCGTTTCTGGTCTCTACAAACTCCTGAAGGAAATATCTGTCTTTTTAGCTGACATTATACTTTACTACGTCTACCAGTTAGTCGCTTACTGTGTCTGTCTGCCGTTTGGTGCTGAGCGGGTAGTGTACATTGGGTTTATCACATCTTTGCTTGCTGAAAGCAACTCTATGAGAGCAGTCAGAGTGAAGGTAGACAGCTAACAATGAGCTGAAATTCACTATAAATCTCAGTAAAGCTGAGGGGAGCTGCAAATTTGGGCACAAATTCTCTGTAGGTTCCTCACTATGAGCGACCCCTTGTTTGTTGTTCATTTTTGGATTAATCCATGAATCATTTATTCAGTAAATGCCCATGAAAAATGCCTACCATTATCTCAGAGACCAAGGTGATGTCTTACGTTACTTTTTTGGTCCAAGCAAGAGTTCAAAACTCAAAGAACAACACAATAAACAACAAGACAAAGCAGCTACTCACATTTGAGAAGCTGGAACGATCACTTTTTAATTTTAATTTTTTTGCTTGATACAGACTGACAGTTAATCAATTATCCTAATTGTTCTTTAATATTTTTTGTATATCTATTGATAATAATTGTTTGTGTAATGTACTACTTCTCACATTCAGAGAAACCTTTTTATATCTGAATAACCACTCGGCCCAATATCCCACATCCCCCTTACAGAACTTTCCTTTTAATGCCTGTCTCCATATGGGACTTTTACAATTCCCAGAAGCTTTCTTTGTGTTTGTGTCCTTATAAGCAGCATGCGTCTTTACTGTCTAAGCAATGCAGTCAGGCGAACTTAACAAGACAATTCAGACATCTGACCTTGACAAAGCCAAATTAATCACTTAAAGGTTCAGACCATCACTGCAGACAGAAAATGGGGACATAAAATGTTTAAAATGGTTCAAGCTCATGAAATAAGGCAAGCTGCTCATCAGGATGGATACTTTAACATCCCACGGATGTCAAACATCCATTACTACTGCCCATTACACAACCCAGAATCCATCAAAAAAACAGTAACAGTGCTCACAGTGAATCTTCTTAAAATTTGGGGCATTCTCTGATAAAAATAGTTTGCCATCTGGCTCAGTTAATGTTTCTTATCCTCAGGCAAAGATGGCAAAAAAACATCACTCCAAAATGAGTCAAGGTGTTTGACTGCAGGGTAGAAATGAAAGCACATGTGCTATCAAATGTGTGAGTGAACAATCAGTGAATCAGTAAATTACATCAAAATTAAGTGGCCATTACTTCTCTTCTGTGATCAATACTGTTTGGAGTAAGTCTCTTGGTAATTGCCCATAATGTGAGATTACATGATTTTTATCTACTTAGGGATCATTGGGCCCTATATACCGTCTATAGTACCAAGCATTTAGATCTCCAGACGCAAAAACTCTAATGACCCTGTTTAGAACCAGTGTTTGGTTTGTCCATTCCGGGCTACTGTAGAAACATGGCAGCATTCCTCCGTGAAGTGGACCTATACCATATGTAGATACAGTATGTATGTCTACTGGTCTTCTGGTAAGAAATGTTATGCTCCGTCACTGTGACTCAACCTTTAAGCAACATTAATTTGAGAGATCAAGACAATGAAATATTATCACCATATAACGTTAATAATAAACTTACTTAATAGCAAAGAGTTGCATATTTACGCATCCAGCAGGCACAGAGCAACAATTCACTTAGAAGCATTTTTCTGACATTGTGGTGAATATTCACTCTCCTTTATGCACCACTATTTTCACCTGCTAGTCTCTTACTATCTCTATCTGCTGTTTCACGCTGTGCAGGTAGTGTATAGAGCTTTATCGCTGAAAACAGCTGCCTGCTGTGTCTGGAAACGATGCTGGTGAGAGCAGAGAGATGGACCAAAACAGTGAAAATGAAACAATGAACTGCGAGACGCTAAAAATGATTCAGAGAGCTGAGGGGAGCTGCAGAGTGATAAATCTCTGTGGGTTCCTCACTAAGAGCAATCCCTTTCACATTACACATTCAATCTATTGTTTAAATTAGCATATTTACGAGTGCAGCTTTAAACACTCATCATCCTCCACTTTACAATTACTGTACATTTTTACCTCTCTTGCATTCATTTCTCTTTTTTTATTTCCTTTGAAATAATTTTCTATCTTTGCATTTTGTGTTTCAATGTATTTCCTGTTTGCAACATGTAAACCACTTTGAATTTCCTTCACGTATGAAATGTGCTTTACCTGCCTCGCCTAGATAGTTGAACTTGGCACTGATAAGAACAGCATAGCTTTGTGCAATACAAACACAAGATCAGCTTTCATTAGTAATCAGATTCATTTGGAGAATTTGCTTATAACTCAAAATATCTCATTACAGTGTACAATTAATGAGTCGAAGTATCATTATTTTAATTCAGTGATTGGAGCTGTACCTAATGTGGTGTATGATTAAGCAGCCTGAAGCCAAAGTTCTGCTCTCATTATTCAAGCTAATAAACGGAATGCAACAATGACTAAGCACTGTTTTTAGTTCAGCCTCCAGTATAATGACATATAGCTATCTCACAGCTGCTAATAATAGAGTAGCTGAGTTAGGATCGTATGTACCGTACAACGTGTTTTGGCATCCAAATTGCAATGCATTTGTAATTAGTCTCAATTAATAATTCAAAATATCCAATTTTTGTTGTTACTGGAGACAGATGCACCAATCCCAGAGGAGGAATGTGTTATATGCAACACAGGAAAACCTTTCCCTCTCTTCTTCTGTGTCAGGAAGAAATGCACGGCTGCACCAGGAGCTCAACCACTCAGCTGAAGGAACATCGCTCAGCGTGGAAAGCGTTATGGAGGAGAAGCAAGGGAATCAGGAATTTGATGGAAAGGCTGAGAAAGATGTTGGAGGGTGGGTAGAGGGGGTGAGAAGGAAAAAAATATATCTTCGCTGGATACTGGGAGACTAGCAAAAGATGAGGATTGAAGCTGATAAAAAAAAAAAAACATAAAGAGGGGGGATTGAGCACAAAGACCGTGAGGAAAAACCCTGCAGAGGCTAAAGCAAGACACAGCAAACAGAAATCTGCAGTCATGTGGAAGCAGCAAACACAGGAGGTGGCTGCTTCCTGTTGTCAATCCTAATTTCAACACAAACACTCAGATGTACACACATGCCTCGCTCTCAAAGCGTGACTCACTCCAACACCTCAGAAAGAAAGCCTCAAGGTGACAAACATGCCTGTGTGTTCACCCGGGCGCTTGGGGGAGCTGAAAAGGAAGACTGCCATCTTTTCTGGGTGATGAACATGCAGGTTGTTAAGTCTGGGGCGGGATTCAGAGGAAATGACTCAGCTGTGGCTAAAACAATGCGAAGTTGTTTTCTTGCCGAGAACTAGATGAGAAGATGGATAACACTCTTATTTACTTATTTGTAAACATGTACCTGTAGCAAGCTGCCAGATTGGAACAGCTAGCCTTGGCTACCTTGCCAAAGGTAACAAAATCCACCACCAATACTTCACCAATTAATCAAAATTTACCACTTAACATGCTGTATCTTGTTTGTTTAATCGGTGTATTACAATTCAAAGATGAATGCAGGTTCATGTAGTGTACAGAATAAACTACAGAGGAAGCAGTTTTTAGCCATTAACTCCTTAGAGATATGATTTGTATTCAAATTTCATATCTGAACAGCTCAGAAGTAAGCAACCAATCTACAATGTACCCTACTGTCAGCTATAGAGGCGCTTTGTTAACTTAGCCTTACATGATTTTGCAAGTCATCCTTATGTTTTTTTTATCTACAGCAGGAGCTAAATTGCACCATTAATCCTACCACATGTACCACACTGATCAAAAGTTCAAGTACATTTAATTGTGTAAAGTGACTTCATAAGACCCAAGACAAAATCTTCCACTGTGATTAGAATTTCTCAAAACTTAACAGGCAATATTTCATGAACAATGACAGAAAGGATTTATGGCCAGGAACAGTGTGTCTGGTATGTAAATATATGAATCAAATATTGATAAAAATCTGTCTTAAATAACTACTCTTGCACAAACCTGCATCTCCCCGTCATCATCATTACCTCCAGGATGTGCATTATTGAATTAA